AAAAAAAAAAAAAAAAAATCCTTTCAGAATAGCTCGTATAGAAGATTTTGAACAGTCCCTAGCAGGTGATACATGTGAAGTAAAAGACACACCAGCTATCCTGATCTGATCATTATACTTCATGTACATGTTTTAAAACATCATGTTAGGGCTGAAGAGATAGCTCAGCAGCATAAGCAACTGCCTGCAAAGTACACGGTCCTGAGTTTGATCCCCAATAACAAAAACAAAATAAAACATATTAGCTGGGCATGGTGACACATACCTGTAACCCAGCACTCAAGGAAGAAAAATCCTGCAAGCTCAAGGCCAGCCTGCACTACAAAGTGAGACTCTGACTACAAAATAAATAAATCAGGGGCTGGAGAGATAGCTCAGAAGGATAAGCAGCTACCTAGCAAGCACAGGGACCCAAGTTCAATCCCCGGCCCCACATGCCTTGCAGTCTCAGCTCCAGATGCCCGGGTGCACCATCTGGGCTCCATCAGTGGCCACCTTGTAGTCCCCAAACCGGGTGTGGTGGTACACACTTGTAATCTCAGCACTCAGGAGGTTGAGCCAGGAGGATCTCTGCAAGTTCAAAACCAGCCTGGGAGCTACAAAAGTGAGCACAAGGCCACTCGAGCTGCATAGCGAGAGCCTGTTTAAAAAAAAAAAATACTACACTCCACAAATAGTTACAATACATAGATAATTGTGTGTCAATTAAAAATAAAAGCATAAGGGGCCGAGGAGATGGTTCAGTGGAATAAGTGCTTTCCTGGCAAGCTCAAAGGCCTGAGTTCAATCCCCGGTTCCGCAGGGGAAAAAAAAAAAACAAAGCAGCAGACTAAGCACCTGCTTTGGCAAGCGCAGGAACCAGGGTTCGATCCCTGGACCCCATGCCATGCCAGCGCCACCCCTGTCCCTGGGGCACCTTAAGCCAGTGAGAGAGTCTGGGAGTTGTGGCGCACCCCTGTATTTCAGCTGAAAACAGGAGGATCACCAGGAGTCCAATGTGTGCAGTGAGACCCTGTACCAAATACACAAATGTAAGGAAAAAAAAAAAGCATAAGGGGCTGGGGAGATAGCTCAGAGGTCTAAGCACCTGCCTGTGAAGCACAAGGACCTGGGTTCAGTCCCTGGTGTGGTGGCACACACCTGTAATCCCAGTGCTGGAAAGGCTGAGACAGGATGACCACTATGAGTCTGAGCTGCATGGTGAGACCCTGTACCAAATAAATAAATAGTAATTTTTTTTTTTAAATAGAAGCATAGGCCAGGGAAATAGCTCGGTAAAATAAGTGCTTGCCTGGCAAGTGCAAGGGCCTGAGTTCAATCCCTGGTTCTGCAAAAAAAAAAAAAAAAAAAAAGCTTAAGCCAGGCCAGGCATGGTGCAAACATCTGTGATCCTGGCACATGGGGAGGCTAAGCCAAGAGAAATTTAGCAAATTAATGAGTCCCTGTCTCAAAAGAATTAAAAAAAAAAAAAAAAAAAAGGCTGGGGCTGTAGATCAATGTGAAGGTCTTGGGTTCAAGTCCCAGGACTGGAGGAAGGGAGCATATCTATGAATGATGGTCCATACCTGTAATTCCAGCAGAGGCAGGAGGATGGCAAGTTTGAGGTCTTCTTGGGTTACATAGCAAGTTTAAGGCCAGCCTGAACTAGTGATATAGGGGAATGAAACTCCCAACCTGAAGGATACTTGGGATGAATTAATGTTCTGAAAACTGAAGAATGAATTTCAGGAACAATGGAGGTTAATAGCAGAATACATTTATTGGGGGAAAGAAAATTCTGTCTGAGAGGGGGACAGAAGGAGACCTGAGTGGGTTGCCTCAGAATCTGTCTTTTCCAGGTATTTTTATTTTTTATGTTTTTGGCGGAACTGGGGATTGAACTCAGGCCCTTGTGCTTTCCAGGCAGGTGCTTATTCTACTGATCTATCTCTCCGGTCCTCCTGGTATTTTTATAAAGAAAGCATGAGGAGAGGTGAATCTAAGGTAGAAAAACATGGGAACTCTCACTCATGTGGGACAAAACTATGGTTAACCAGTAAGATTACAATCACAATTGCTCAGGTAAAATGGACTAAATCCAGGACCAAATGGAGAAGCGAGTCACACAGCAAATGGGCATGAATATAGAACAGGGGCTTTTCCTGTAGGCACTTGAGTTAGTGGCTCTTCCTGGCTTGTCACGGGGATTATCAATCCTGGATGCTCATCTTTCGGGAATATGCATTTGCTTACTCTTTTATCCTGAGGTCTGGCCCAAGTGGGAGTATCCGTCTCTTCCAAAGTTGCAAGGTCATGTTGTCTTCTGTACTGCCTCCTCTGAGGGCCTAGCCCTGACTACCTATAATATTTCTAACTCAGCTGCCTACAACAATAACAAGATGCTGTCTCCCCTGACGACACATAATTAAACATACACATATGGATATATATTTCTTTAAGAATTAGAAGCCATGGGGCTGGTGAGATGGCTCAGTGGTCTAAAGCACCTACTTAGAACAAGCTTAGCAAAGCACAGGGACCACGGTTCGATCCCCCAGCACCACATGCCAGCCAGCCCCGCCCCCTGGTGGGCTGAGCTGGCCACATACACACATACACACAAATAAATAAATAAATAAATAGAATTAGAAGCCAGGTTGCCTCTGACCAAGGAGGTAGGGACTGACTGGAAAGAGGAGTTGAGCAAGCCCCTGGCATGCTGGAGGTGGCCCGGATGTAAATAACTCATAGAGAGCCCTTTCCAGTCCTTGTTGAGACCCAGGATCTATAATTCCATGGAAAAGTTACTGGCATTCTAGTGGGTTAATTCCAATCTACCACTTCCAGTGCAATCCACAGCAAGAATAAAGACACCAAGGCATATGTGTAGTTGTGGGGAGACAAGGTGTCCTAAGTCCAGCTAGGGTGATGGCTTTCCCAACAAAGGCCTTGACCCAGGGCTGCACCTGGGTCTTATTAATCTGTGACCATGAGGACGATGGGAAGCAGGTGAGTGTTGTGAGCTGGGCCAGGTAGGAGGCCCAGACCTGAAGTCATCTGTGCAATATGAAGAGAGAAAGATATGCAGAAAGGGTAATCTGCATGAGCTGTGTGGCATTTTGGGGCTGGTGCTTCAGCTCTTGACGTGTAAACTTTTATGCTCAGGGAAGTCACAGCCTCTTACCACGAGGCTCAATCCCAGTGATAGCGTGAGGCACAGCTCCCCAACCTGCCTTCACTTGACTCACACATTTTATTTGGGAGCTATGGGGGGCAGGGAGACACTGCCCTGCCATCTCTGGTATCAGGAATCGAACTCAGGACTGTTGTAACTCAAAAATGAGGCAGGCTTGAAAAGAAAAGAAGCGCTTTGTTTTAGCTGGTACCCAGCAGCAGACACCCGGCAAGATGCTGAGGTGCACGCCGGGAGGATGAGGGGAATGGGTATTTAAGCCAATAAACCACAAAAGCTGATGTCAAGGGCTCATCTAGGGGCTGCAGTTGAAAAATTACCTGTTTCTAATGAACAGTAATAGGTGCAGTGGTGGGGACAGTTTGTAGCTGGGAACGAGGGCAAGAACAGGGCATTGGGCCGGAACTAGATTCAGTGTGCACAAAGGACAGCGTGAGAAAGGCCCAACTGCAGGTTCTCAAGTAGAGAAAGGGCACAGTGGAAAGTTACAGCATTTAGGATGGCGCCTACAGAACAAGATGGTGGCGCATATGTCAGGTAATAACAGTTAATAAAGTTACAGTGGAAGCATACAGAGTTACAAAGTTGGAATCAATTGCACAGGTTATAACATTCCCCACTGGTGTTTGTGCCCGAGTCAAATCACTGACTCGCCAGGGTTATAACTTAGCTTGCATATATTCAGTTAAACAGTTTATTAAACAAGGCCCAATGAGTAGGACTAGAAGGAATATAATCATAGGTCTAATTAATGTAGTTTTTACATTATTTATAGTAGCTCAGTTGTTTAATATGGCCCTCAATGAGTTTTCTCTGCTCCGCATTGAGCAGGGCCATGGCTGTTGAAGTGGCACTGCACTAAGAGCCTCTGTCACATGTAAATCTCTCAAGTTTTATATACTCATGGCCCTTTGAGGTGATGTTATATCAAATTATTTTGACATGGGTCACCACTGCTAATCTATTCCAACAGCAAGGAACATTAGTTAACAACAGAGTCTGAGCAGGTGGTTTTTAGAACTCTAGCTGGGAGAACAGACAGTATTTTCCATGTCCCCACTGGATTTTGTGTCACCTCTTGGGCTGTAATATCAGCCAGGGAGTTTCATCTTTTGTCTTGAGGTGTGGCCTACAGTGGGGAGCATCTGCCTCTCTCAAACTGTGGTCACCTTGATTTTCAATTCTGTCTCTTCAAGGGCCCAGCACTATCCAGCTGTTCACAAGACCCCCATCTAACTTGGCTGTTCGCAGCATTTTCCCTCTGAAGAAGTAACCCGAACTGCTGTGAAGCGTTTGTGGGCGATGACCATTCTGGCTTTTTTAAGCTGAAAAAGAGTCGTAGCTGTTGTCCGGCAGTCAGAGATACTCTCCAGAGGTTTTTACCCAAAGACCCTCAGTAGACACCAAGTAATTTTTCTTGGTAGGTGGAATAACTTTAAATCTGGAGGAGGCAAAGCCAAAGAAACAAACAAATAATAACATCAACAGGATACAGTAATCACTTAGTAGATCTGGAATGCAATAACCTTTTAAAGTTTGTAATTGTAAAAACACTAGTCAGAACATTTTGTAGATCTATTAACAGGGATCTCTTAAATGTGAGGTTTAATCTCTTTATTTTTTTTATGGCCACTGGGTATTGTCTCATACTGGCCTGTTTTTGTGTTTCATCAACTTTTACATGAATTGTCAGACCTAGGGAAAGCACTGAGTACTCTCCAGTTTGCAAGTGGAAAGTTTTACGGGCCCTTTTTTATATTGGCAGTTTACATGGGTTCCCTCAGGCTGAGAGGGAAGACACATGACTACCTCAATTTGATTTTATCATAAGCACTTTTTTTTTTTTAATGTGAAGGTAACTTCCCCTGCAGTGGGCTTTTCTGACATAGGATTAGGCTGACAGAGGAAGCATCTTTGAGGGCAATCAGCCCTGCCCAAGGAACGTGATGATAGCTTCCTTTATAATGAGGCAGGAAACCCAGAGAAGACTCAGCTCACCTGGGCTGTAGGAGATGGACAGTTAAGGCCTTATCAAGTCTCTATAGACAAAATCTGTATGATTACCTGGGTTTTGGTATCCTTTAAGAAAGAACAAATTTTCTGAAAATTACAGCATGTATAATCAAAGCACAAGCATTTGAGCTAACAGATAAATGTATACATTTTGAGGCTAGCATTCGTAACCCACTTGTTTTTAGACCCCTTTACTTTTGGAGTCTGACAGTTTGCTATAAGTCCTTCTAGTTCTATTTATAGTTATCTCTAAATTTTGAGAACATATGAAAACCAGATTAATACCTTATTTTTACTGTTAATGTTTTTAAGTAATTTAAGTACAGTTTGGCATGTTTTTCTAGTTACACCTGTGTTTACTATCAGCATGAAATACCTGAGTTACATCAAAAATCAACCAGGCTAACTTAATACACTTATGAAATACACAGTATTCAACCAAATTAAACCAATGACCCATTGAGTTTTGGACATGGCCCCTATTATAATCAAGGGGCACTATAGAGGGATTTATCCTTTTACACTGTGGCTCTGCGGTTTGCGTTTTAAAGTCAAGGACTGGCTCTATCTAGAGGCCCAAAGCTATTGGACACTGTGTAGCCAGTGTCTCTAGAATTTTTACACTGACAGGATGTTATCTGTCCTTGGGAACCTGTTTTAACTAGTGAAATACCTTTTTAAGTCTTACACATGAATAACAATATATTACATTTGTAAAAACTAGTCTTAGCATCCTCTTGATTAGTAAGCAACCTCAACTATGTTGTAGTATCTCATTTACAGCTGAAGCAATGTATCTTCTAAAGTCTGTTTCTATTGAGGTAGGATGACTGGAAGGAGAATCAGGGTTAGAGAAAGACAAAAAGATCTGTGTCAATATCCAGCAATGGGCTGGGGTTTTTTGTAGTCATGATTGCTCAGGGCTCCTCCATGGAGATGACAGGTAGAGATGACAGTCTGGCCAGAGGGAGGAGGCAGGCCCAGTGTCCTTTAGTCCTACTGGACCATCAGGGAAAGCTGAGTCTGAGCCCTGGGGCCTCCGCCTCAGAGTGCAGTCTTACTTTTAGTGGCTGCCTGGGCGGTCAGGGCATGGCTTGTGGGCCTCTTAAAGCAGTCCCTCTTACAATGGCCTGGCTTTCGACAGCAGTAGTACATGAACCTCATTGTTGTTGAGCTCCTCTTGGAGCCCAGAGAATCAAACTTAGGGTCTGTTTTGAGGCCACAACAAAGGCAGTCGTTTTGGTCTCTTTGTTGTTGTTGTTTTTCCTGGTTCTCTCCCAGTTTCGATCAAAGGACATTGTTTCTTAGTGTCCCATAAAGTATCAAGTGAGTTGTCGGGAGCAAAAGCTATCTTTTGTAGTTTTTTTTTTTTTTTTTTTTTTTTTTATATCTGAAGCTGACTGAGTAATGAATTTATCTGCAAGAATAGTCTGTCCTCCTACTGAATTAGCATCTCAAGGAGTACGCTTTACCAGTTTTTTATTAAACATTTTAAGAGATCAGAGTGGTGTTTATCTTTGTCCTGGTAAATAGCTGAAATTTAATAACTGAAGACTTGGTCTTAGTTTTTTAGACTTCCAAGAATACATACTAGAAAATATATTTTATTACAATCTCCTGTCTGGCTATTAGGCCAGCAGGGGTCTGACTGCTTGGGCTCCAGTGGGAACAGGTAGTTCCTGTTACAGCTCAACCAAGATAGACTGGCTGTCCATCTTCTGGTTGTTTAGAATTAACAATATGACATTTATTTTCAAATGGAACATCAGCTTATAATGTTGCCTGCCTTTTTAGAGAAGTCAAAGCTTGGTTTAAGATTAACATTACATCTTTTAAATCTAATTTATAAGTCTGAATAAATCTTTTAAAGACATCAATGTACTTATCAGGGTCATCTAAAGACTTTTAAGATCTGACATTTTCTGTTTTAGGTCACAGAGAAAAAGGCACATAAACTCTGGAAGTTCTAAACTTAAATTGTTTTTTACTTTTCAAAGATATTATCCCTGTGTAAACTCAGCTACGGATGAGTGTAGCCTTGGAAGGGCTTGGATTACAGCTATTTTAGAAGCCCGCCCTTTTGAAATACAAATAGGGGAAACCTTATGTTCAGCAATGATGGGTGAGGTTATGATTGTGGATCTCTTGTCCTTGGGCTCCCAAGGTCAGGAAGCCGCAGCCTTGGGCATCCGAGCTGCCAGGTTCTCCTGTAGCCCACACCTACATTTTAATGCTAGAATGACTTTTTTAAGGCAAACAAAATCTGAACAAAAGACTACTAGTCTGGTGACAGGAGTCTTAAGAAGGAAACATAACCATTACATAAAAAGGTCAATTTATCTAATCACTTAGGTAAATATTTTTAGCACCTAAACAAGATTTAATCTTGAAGCTCACAGGTGAAACTTATTATCATTTAGCATCACATTTTATATATTGGTAAGAATACAATACAGCTGGCAAACATCTTATTTTCAGCTAACACGTAAAGCAGATATAAGTTTTTTTGATAACCACTATGGCAAGCTGTCTCAGCCTTGTTTCTGAAAGAGTGACTCATTAACTTATTTTACTGAAAAGCTCAGGTAAAATTCCTAGTTTACTAGCAGAGAGAAAAAGTGTAATAGGTAAGTGGAGAGCTTTTAGTGGTCAGAAGCCAGTTTCCACCAAGGAACCTTTGGGTTTGGCGCCTTAACCCCTTAGGTATTCTCAGTTTCTCTTGGCTCACACAACCAGAAATGTCTCCAGAAAATCCAGCAGTTTCCCTGGTCAACATTCCATCAGCCATAGGCTTCAATGGGGATTTACCAAAGAATGGCTGGGGAGGTCTGTCCTCTGCTTTAAAGAGGGGCAGCTGCTCTAAGAGCATTTACTAGCTGGCAGAGTAACCACTGTTTGTCCAAGTTCTATAAGGGATAGCTAAAAGCCTGAACAAGATTACCTAAGCATCTTACAGCAAATGTTTTATAAAATTTATAACTCATTTTTTACCCATTTAAATGATAGCTAAACTTAGGAGGAAAGGTCAAGTTTTTTCAATGACTTCCCTGTCTTCAGCATGAACAAATTCATTTTCAAAGGCTTTACCTAGCTGGAACAGAGTTTTTCAAATTTTACATGCCTCTAAAAAGGAAAGTGCAAAGAGGTAGGAAAATTAGGAGTAAAGTCAAAGCAAGGAAACTGAAACAGAGCAGGTCTGACTTTCCCTCTAGCATGTAGAGGGGGATCAGAACCAGTCCATCCCAGTGAAACCTGTCCTCCAAGTCTTTAAGAACAGATGCCGACCTAATGTCATTTAACTGGCAGAAGGAGTCCCGTTTTTTATATACAGACATGTAGGTTTTCTAAGTCCAAGCTGGTCCAAAGTCCCATTTTGCAGAAGTTTACATAAAATCCACTAGGAAGCTTATTAACCTTACCCTCTCTAATGCTATTGTCTATAATCAAGCAAGGAATACCAGTACATTTAGCAACTAGTTCTAATGCAACATATACAAGTACAAAAATAGTCATAAAATGTCCCATTAAAGAAATATTATAACCTTATAACATTTTCATGTTTTAGCTTAGATTTGCCAACATATTTTGACCAATATCTTAACTGCATAATGAATTTATCTGTGTACCGGCTGGCAGGTGGAACAAGCAGGTTCTGATGGTGATGGTTGGGGGTCACAGCCACTTGTTATCAGTTGGAACTGCCAGCACGAACAGGTGGAATTGGCCAGTTGTCCAGGAACAGTGTCTGGAACAGCAAGCCTTGAGTCATTTCAGGGGTTATGGACAAGATCAATCCAAGCCTCAATGTAAGGGGCCTGGTTAGGGTGTCCCAGATTTCTGAAGGCAGGTCCAGGAAGGGGGGGTTCAGCAACGGACGGTGGAGGATGTGGGCTCCAAGTCCTTCAGGGGGCCAGGAGGGGGATCCCGAGAGGATGATAGGGAGATGGACGGGGGAGGAGAGGGGATTTCTTTGGAGGAGCTAAGGGGGCTAAGGGGGGCAAGGGAGGGGCCATAGGGTGCTCCACGGCCTTGATAACTTTCTTGATCCAGGTGGGTGGATCCTAGATGAGGTCAATCCAGACTTGTGTGTAGATGATCTGATCTGGATGGACAGGTGGGTCAAAAATGACTCAGCAAACGGCCTGAGCTGTGGAGAGAACAAAAGTGCCTTCGGGAGGCCAAGAGACATTAAAGGAGGGCTATTCAAGTTCACAAAAAGCCCACAATTTGCCAGGAAAGACAGGTTCTCCGAATCCTTTGGCTTGTTCTCTGAAATCTTTAAAATAGTTAAGAACCAAGGTTAGGGGTGTTAGTGACACAGAAGACATTTGTCCCATGATAGTCAGGGACGGACCAAGAAGGACAGACAAACACAAATAGACCGCACAAAACAAAGACAAATGACAATCGCAAGCTTCTGCAACTGAACCAAAGTTGCCAGAGTATGGTCTGCTTTACCAAAAGGTTTCATAAAATGAAACCTTGAAACCAAAAAGCAGAACCCAGATAAACGGAGGGCGTCCCACTCCATTGCGGAAGGGACACCAGGCCCGTCCACCCAAAACAAATGTGCACCAAATTCAAAAAGGTACCTACCTGTCGGCGCCACAAGAT